ACATTTCAACCCATCAATCCACCTCAACCTGCCCCGTTTAGTTATGGGTCAAAATGGGTTGGCAGTTGGTCGAGGTGGGTTGGCCCGCAAGTAAGTTTTTTATTACTAATAAGTAGTATTTTATTTGTCACTAAGCTTTTGTGATATGAAATTTTTTTATCTTAGTACTCCCTTAGAAAAAATAAAAAATAAAAACTTTATTTATTACAAAGGTTATCCATATATTGAGGCAAAAATAATTTCTTAAAAAATATTTGACTGAATATTAGTATACATTTAGCCATTTAGGTTTGAGATTGAAAAAAAATTAAAAGGATGATAAAATGAAGGGAAAAATGTTTCTGCAGTTAATACAGATAATTTATCTGCATTTATTCTCAAAACGACGTCGTTTTGGTATTGAAATCTTAAAAAATTATAAATATAAAGACGATTAGAACCCTGAAATAAATTAAAATTACAAATACACCATGATTTCTGCCCCAAAACGACGTCGTATTGGGCTTACTGCAGATAACTTATCTGCAGTAACTGCAGAAAAAGCGAACCCTAAAATGAAAATAAGAAATATTATAAAATTAATAAAATATATTTTTATTTTTATTTTTAATTATTTTTTATTTTTTAGACGGGTTGATCCGTCAACCCACCACAAAACGAGGTGGATTGGAATTTTCAATCCATATCACAATGCGCGGAGGGCCAATCCGTTTTCGGCGGGTTGGCGGAAGAGCGGGCCGACCCATTTCGTCACCTCTATATCACATGAGGTAATATCTCTTATGTCATAAACACAACAAATGATGGGTCCATCACTTATTTTTTTTAAAAAGCACACATTTTAATGCCTTACAATATAAGAAAGTAATATCATGTTGCATAACAAAATGATTGGCCTTATTCTATTTGTATATTTATGTCGCTATTCTCGATAGAGGTGTTCATCAACCGATCCAAACCGATTCAAACTGCGGTGTCCGAACTGAAAAATCGATAACCGAACAAACCAAAAATCGAAAAATCAAAAATCGAAAAAAAAACCGCAACTTTTAATTGGATCGGATCGTTTTTCGGATTGCTTAATGAAAACCGATCCAATATATTAATTCCTCTCTACTAACTTTGGTCTTTCTCCCATCATAATCCAAAAATTTCTAAACCCAAGACCCATTAACCCATCAACTAAATCCAAGAAAAAACCTAGTCACATCTCATCAACAAAATTTAATCTGCGTAGAGCTTCATATCTCATTGCTCCAAAAAAAAACTATATTATCGTTTACTGATGTTTTTTGTATCTCAATTTTTTTTATAAAGCCAATATATATATATATATATATATATATATGTATATATATAAAAAAGATGTTATCTGCATGAAACAAATTTTAAGATTTTCAAAAAATCAAAAACCGATCCAATCCAAACTGAAAAAAATTAGATTGGATCGGATCGAATTTAAAAAAAAGTTCAAACCGAATGGATGATTACATGATCAAACCGAAGGAATTGGATCGAATGATTTTTGCTTCCAAAACCAATCCAATGCAGACCGCAAATACCCCTAAACCCCTAATTCTCGAACCATTATGATCTAATACGTTTATATGCTTCAAAATGTCTCTCATATACTAGTGTTGAATATGTACTTTTTCCGGATCCTTAACTTAATTGTTATAAAAAAAAAATTTATTTATTATTTTTAAATGTTGTGTGAATACAAATAAAATATCGTAATAATATAATAAGTAATAGTCTTTAATCGTATCTTGGAGAGCACTTGTGTACACTCAATAATATGTGATTTTTTACAGGAAAAAGGGGGAGAAAAAATCTACCAAAGGAAATTCTTCTAACAAATGTAATGATGACTCTGATGATCCAATATAATAATCAGAGATGGCATATAGCAATTGATACAGGATATAAGCACCAGTTACTGATTGTACCATATCTCCAAACTATGTTAAAATGCATTTTTATATTATTCAATAAAAAATTTGGCGTGGACTTTATAAATGATAATGCGCGTCCAAAAGAGTGAGAATTATAACTTTCACTATGGCTTTAAGATTTGTCCCTCAGACCCTCAATAACAACAGAGAAAAGTGACATATTAAGAATCAAGATTATACTCTAGCATGTTAGTAAAGAATTTACCCGAATAAAGACAAATGACTTTCACAAAACATAAAACATCCCATTATTAGATCAACAATTATCCTTTCATACAATTTTTTTTGTTTTTTTTGTTTAGCACTTTAGCTACTACTATATTAAACTTCTTCGCATTATACAGGGATCAATAAAAAAGGTTCAAATTCGTAAATTATTTTTTGAACATATATTTAGTTAAAAATTAATTTAGTAAAATAAAAAATAAAAAATAAAAAATAAAAAAATTATTATTATCATCATTTTTTAATATAAATATAAAAAAATATTATTCTATCTATTTTTTTCATATCTACCACTCTTCGATACCGTCAGACCAAAATCTCAAATAACATTTCCTATTTCTTTATTTTCTTGAGATTTTAATTTGATAATATTGAAGATTAGTAAATAAGATAAACATAAAAAATAATTGATAGAATAACATATTCCTATATATATATATATATATATATATATATATATAGGGAAATGTTATATTTACAAATTTTTTATTTACAAACTCTTACAAACTACATTAAGTATGACCGGTCATACTTCAATCAAGAGTGTATGACCGGTCATACTTAATATAATTTGTAAAAGAAGTTTGTAAACGGATCATTCCCCATATATATATATAGGGTTCGTTTTTTCTATTTACATTGAGTTCAAAATGACATCGTCTTGAGATAAAAATCAAGATTTTTTTGTATTGATAATTTATTTCAAGATTATAATAATCATTTTCATTATAATTTTTTAACCCAAAACAATATTATTTTGGTAGCGATATTCACCTTAGAATCATTAAATCAATATATATATAATTTATTTATGAATTAGAGTAAAGACCCGAATTGGTCCCTGAAAAAAAACTCGGTGCCCAAATTAGTCCCTCACAAAAATAAACTCGTTAAATAGTCCCCAACAAAGTGAAACAGGACCCTCGTTAGTCCTTCTGTCAATCCAAAACTGACGGTGTCAATGACGGTGATGACGTGTCACGTTAAGTGACATGCTAGAGGCCACGTGGGTTGAGGAACGACGTCGTTTTGAGAGACCCATCCACGTTGGTCAGTATGGTCTCTAACAGTTTTAACAAAGGGGACCAGTATGGTCCCTAACATTTTTATCGGGGTCCTTTTTAGTCCCTGCTAAAGTTCTGTTAACACTAGTGCCACCATTTGCTATTAACACACCAGTAATGGCATTTCCCCTTGTACATGCTGATATTAGTCATGCATAACATAATCAACTTCTGCATAATTCACACCATGACATTCTTAGTTTAGTCTTTATACATTGTTTCCATTCCTTTTTTTATCTCCATCGAGTTTATACAACATTCTGTATAAAGATTGAGAAGGAAATGATGCATGTGAGTAGGTGTGCTAGGGTTTTTTCAATCGTTATTTTTTCATGAGACTGTATAAAGATTGAAGACATATCATTGAAGATGCAGGCAGACTTTGAAAGGGTTGAGAAGGAAATTATGCATGTGTGTAGGTGTGCTAGGGTGTTTGCTGGATCCATTATTGTTGTGTTTCTAGTATGTATATATCTTGCAAGTAGGCTGGAGTGAAATTTAAAATGTGGTTCTGTTGAGATTTGCTGGTGTAATGAATTATTGTTTATGCAATGTATGTAGCATGACTTATGTATTTGAAGTTATGTTTATTGGCACAGAATGTTGTATAAACTCGATGGAGATAAAAAAAAGGAATGGAAACAATGTATAAAGACTAAACTAAGAATGTCATGGTGTGAATTATGCAGAAGTTGATTGTGTTATGCATGACTAATATCAGCATGTACAAGGGGAAATGTCATTACTGGTGTTAATAGCAAATGGTGGCACTGGTGTTAACAGAACTTTAGCAGGGACTCAAAAGGATCCCGATAAAAATGTTAGGGACCATACTGGTCCCCTTTGTTAAAACTGTTAGGGACCATACTGACCAACGTGGATGAGTCTCTCAAAACGACGTCGTTCCTCAACACACGTGGCCTCCAGCATGTCACTTAACGTGACACGTCATCACCGTCGTTGACACCGTCAATTTTGGATTGACAGAAGGACTAACGTAGGTCCTGTTTCACTTTATTGAAGACTATTTAACGAGTTTATTTTTGTGAGGAACTAATTTGGGCATCAAATGCAGAAGTTGATTGTGTTATGCATGACTAATATCAGCATGTACAAGGGGAAATGTCATTACTGGTGTTAATAGCAAATGGTGGCACTGGTGTTAACAGAACTTTAGCAGGGACTCAAAAGGATCCCGATAAAAATGTTAGGGACCATACTGGTCCCCTTTGTTAAAACTGTTAGGGACCATACTGACCAACGTGGATGAGTCTCTCAAAACGACGTCGTTCCTCAACACACGTGGCCTCCAGCATGTCACTTAACGTGACACGTCATCACCGTCATTGACACCGTCAATTTTGGATTGACAGAAGGACTAACGTAGGTCCTGTTTCACTTTATTGGAGACTATTTAACGAGTTTATTTTTGTGAGGAACTAATTTGGGATCAAATTTTTTGTGAAGAACCAATTTGGATCTTTACTCTATGAATTAATAAATGGAATGAAAGTGGAGTGGTCTAGAAAGGAGTCAAAATTTGGAAGAAGTGATGAAACTACGTCGTGCAAAACGTGTTTGGCTGGCTATTAAAATTTGACACAAGCGTCGGTGGTGGTTAACCGTAGGTTAAATGTTAAAATGTTAAATGTTTCAAGACAAGAGGCACAAGGAGGAGAGAGAAACAAGAGAGAGAGAGAGTGCTATATATATATATATATATATATAGTAGACACACATAAATCATTGATTGATAGAGAAGAAGAGTAGAGAGAAAACTGGGCCTTTGAGACCTACCAGGTTCACAGAACAGAGCTACAGCCATGGCTGAATCGGTTTCAGTGGACATTGAGAGGATCTATCTCAGTGGAAAGGTTTCTTCTTATCCATTTTTTTTTTCTGGGTTCCGTTTAAAGTTTCAAACTTTTTTGCAAATGGGCTCACTCTTTTCCCTCGATTATGCGCTGAAGAAAATTTTTGCAGAAGCCAACAGTAACACTTCTCTATAATTGGGGATTTTTAGCTACATTGGGATCTATCTAATTAAATAATTTCTCAATTAAAAAAGAGTCAATCATTTTTAGTTGCTTATTTTATTTTGATCAATTCATCGGAATGGTTTGTTTTCTTCTCTTATTTTTATTTTTATTTTTTTTCTTTGGATATATTTTACCTCGCCATTCCATTGGGATTCTGAAGATTTTTACATGGCAAATAGCTTATATTCGCATTCTTGATATGCCACATTTTTTTTTTTTTTTGTCTTTTATCCTTCATACGTTGAGCTATTGATTTTTTTTCTCCATATTTGGTCCTCGTTAGTCGTTATCCTCTTGGATTTTCATTTGGTCGTTGTTTTAGAATTTCAGTTACTTCTTCTTACTTTTTAAACTTTTGTCAGGCTTCCTATATAGCTTGTTACTTGTTAGCATAATAACATAGGCGTGTTGAAATATAGATTTAGTGATTTTTGGAAGAAATGAATTTTGCATTTGCTGTATTTGATGCGATTTAGATGATGCAGGAAATTTTACTTTTTTTTTTTTTGTTTTCCTTTCATACACGTACTTTGTTGTTTTCCTTTTCCTTTCATTCTTTGTCTGTTTGGTTTTTCAGGTGGGGTCCGGGTTCTTTTTTTCTTTTTCTTTTTAAGTTTATCTCATGTTTCTTATATGATGATGTTCATCGCTTTGAAGGAATTGGATCCTTTGTGCTTTGGCTTTTCTGTCTCCTCGGTTCTTTCTAAGTGCATTACAGGCTATAAGAATCTTAGCTATTCCTTTCTTTGTCCTTTAACTCATTATTGTACTTTGGGATAATTCTATAGTTGCTTTATAATTTATATACATATTAGTTATTAGATCAGGTAACGTCATTCTTCTTTTAAAAATTTTAAGATACTGTCGTATTTTTCACTAGCTTCACCTTGTTTTATTTGTCGAACATACAATGATTGGAATCTGAAAGTTTTTTTTTCTTTTTTCTTTTTTCATTTATCTTTATGAAACTTATATTAATATGCTGTTGCACTTGCTTGTTAGTTGGGGTTGTCCAAAAAAGTGGTAAGGGCACATGGGTAGCCATGTTAGGTAATAAATAATTTGGAGAAGTTTGACATGGTTTTCCATTACTCAAAATGGAGTACTACAAAGCAAAGGATATCCTTTGCTCTACAGGAATGTTCTTTTTTCCCTCCAAAAATTAACTTTGAATTTTGTGCTTCTTTGTCCTACATTTGTGTGTTCTTTTTGTGTTTTTTTCTCCTACACTTATTTTGGATTATTATTTCAGGAACATCATATTCGGACTGGCTGTGGTTCTGTATCTGTCATAGTCTATGGGGATCATGACAAACCAGCTCTGATCACTTATCCAGATTTAGCACTTAATCGTAGGTGGAGTCAATTCATTTTCTGATAGCCAGCCACTCTTGTTTAAAATTTCAAGATTCTGAATTGTCCCCCACTGTTCTAGAATTTTTTGCATAGTTCTTTCCGAATGCATTGAATGATTATATATGTGTATGTTAGAATTCACTCTCTTAACTTAATCTGAAAATCTGAGGCATTATTTTACTTTTATGTATTGAGGCAGATATGTCATGTTTCCAAGGATTATTTTTCTGTCCCGAGGCAGCTTCTTTGCTGCTTCACAACTTTTGCATATATCATATCAGTCCTCCTGGGCATGAGGTTTGTAAGTTAATTGACCTGAATGTACTTTTTATTGCATTTAGAGCTGAATCTTATTATTCACATAGTTTATCTGGAACTTCCACAAGAGTTCTATAGTTAGGAGCTGCTGCAATTTGTCCCGACGATCCTGTCCCTTCTGCCGATGACTTAGCAGATCAAATAATTGAGGTTCTCAACCATTTTAGGTAATTACAATATAATTACTCTGCTTACTTTTTTTATCTTTAGCATTCGTTTTGTTTTTAAACAGTTCTATTTGTTTGAGAACACATCCAATAAAAGGGAGTAAAATAAAAAGAGAGTAAAAAAGGCACTGTATATATTGAGGGAAAATCTAATGTATATAATATAGTTACTAATTGTATGAACTATTTCCTTGTTCAGGCTTGGTGCAGTGATGTGTATGGGAGTAACGGCTGGTGCTTATATCCTTTCTCTATTCGCAGTATGTACTCTACTTGTAATTAATGCTTAATTTTTAATATAAAGTCAAACTTATTGATTTGTTCTTTTTTGCTACTTCGATACAGATGAAATATAGGGAGCGTGTTCTTGGTTTAATACTTGTATCTCCCTTATGCAAAGCTCCTTCTTGGACGGAATGGTTTTATAACAAGGTTCTTTTCAAATGCCCGCAGACTATGCATTTATGAGTTCTCTAATTTGATAACATTACCTAAACTGCTTCTCATTTTAGGTGATGTCAAATTTGTTATATTTCTATGGTGTATGTGGCATGCTGAAGGAGTGTTTGCTCCAGCGGTACTTCAGCAAGGTATTGTAATAATGCTAGGATCTTAGCTCTCTTGAATTTTATCTTTTATTTAATATGTATTGAGTTTTCTTGGTCAACTTGAACAGGAAGTTCGTGGTAGTGCTGAAGTTCCAGAATCCGAGATAGTTCAAGCTTGCAGAAAAGTCAGTGCTAAGTTAATTTAGTTTCTTTGCCTTGTACTGCCCTATAGCTGAAATGTGATTGTTATTTCGTAGTTTGTTTTTTTTGTGTATTTACCTAGCTTTGCACTGGTTCTTTGTCTTGTTTCTTTTCCAGTTGCTGGATGAGAGAAAGAGCGTCAATGTCTTACGGTTTCTTCATGTTATTAATGAGTAAGATCTCCTACATATAGTTGCTTCACCATATTTATTTATTTGTGTGTGTGTGTGATCCTCCTGTAGTCTGAGGTAGCATAGCATATTTATGTGCTCCAACTTTGTTTTACGAATTTGCAGGAGACCAGATATAACAGAAGGATTGAAGAGATTAAAATGTCGTACACTTATTTTTGTTGGGGACAGTTCTCCTTTCCATTCGGAGGCTCTTCACATGACTTCAAAACTTGATAGGAGATATAGTGCTTTGGTTGAGGTATGTAGTGCGAAAGTATGCGGAATGTTGTACATTAGTACATGTACGTAAATAAAATAAAATAAAAAGTATATCTAAAAGGACTTGACATTGGTTTATGAGTTTCCCTAATATATTTTCCTGGGTCAATATGATTCTGTAAACTTGCCTAGTGTTGATTATGACAACAAATTCTTGATATCATTTAATATATGAGAGAACATTCATAAATGTGAAATATGTTTCTCATGTTACACGAGACAAATTATCTCGTGCAACACAAAAAAATGGATGGGATCCACTAAGGAGAAGAGAAAGAAAAAAGTGGATATCATCCACTATCCACTTTTTTCGTGTTTTACATGAGACAAATTGTCTCATGCAACATGAGAAATACATTCCTTTTCATAAATATATGTAAACTAAGATTTGAGACTGGGTTAATTTGTCAGGTCCAGGCTTGTGGATCAATGGTTACAGAGGAACAGCCACACGCAATGCTGATTCCTATGGAGTACTTCTTCATGGGGTATGGATTGTATAGGCCATGCTATTTCAGTGACAGCCCAAGGAGCCCACTTAGCCCTTCTTGCATCTCTCCCGAGCTCCTTTCTCCAGAAAGCATGGGATTGAAGCTAAAGCCTATTAAGACCCGTGTTTCACTGGAAGTTTGATATGGGACAAACACTTTTTTTTTTCTTCCTAATTTTTTGATTGTTTAAGAGGGATAGAGAAGTGGTTGGAGAGTTGGCTGGTTGTAGATAGATATAAAGGGCAATTGAGAATTCGTTGGAATATATAGATATAGTAAGATTCGTGTTCATTCGTTTGTAGTCAGTCATTGACGAATATCACTGTGAGCTGTATCTGTAAATTCTATATGGACTCGAAATTTATTTATGGTTGACGAGTAATCAATAACCCAGAGGGACCCTTTGATTTTTTAAGACATCCTTCCCATAACTAGGAATCCTTTTCATTTTGATTCCCTCTCTATTAATCTTTTTTTTTTTTTTTATTGTTAAAATACACGACATGTGCAATTAAAAGGAAGAAACATCACTTTTTTTACTAAGCTTAAAACAATTCAATCAAGATGAAGTTGGATAGTTTAAAAGATTGAATAGTTTAAAAGATTTATAGCTTATAAGTTTTTCTTCCGTATTGCACTGCAACAGCAAAAAAATGAAAATGTTTACTTTTCATGTTAAAGTAACTCCTATATGATACAAAATTTCCTTCTTGAAACTGTGTTAACATTACCTAGTAAATTTTGTTCTATCCAGATTCCAGACAATGGTCATTTTCAGACTCAGTTAAGAGTTACATAACCAAACTAAAAAATGCAAAGAAAATGTAAGCGGGAAGATAAAGTCAGAAAAGGAAAAGGTCTATTCACTTCCAATCTGAGTGATTAGTATTTAGCAGACTAGGGTAAGAAATTTCAGCCTTAATATTGCACATTAATAGTTATAGCACCAATGTAATACAAAAATTGAGCAGCCTCAGAAAATTCCGGTGTAATTGCAATGTGACAGCACCGAAATTTGTCGGAGCCTGCATGAACTAAATTAGCAAACAAGGGAAATATAATGCTGAGAAAACAGAAGTATGACACAGTATGCAACTTCTCGCTGCCTCTTGAGACCTCCGATCATGTAAAGGATCCCTATGCACTACATAATAACAAGGCCACAAGGGACTGTGGCATCTAGTCAGAGTAGATAAATCCAGTATAATTGTGGGCTTTACACAGAGATTAACAGTTTGTTACCCTAGCTTAGGCGTCTGAATCAGAAGCTGGATCCTCTACTTCACTCTCACCACTTGAACTATCATTTGCGGCTGAAGTGCCGGCTTTGACTGGATCAGAGTTTTCATGGAGGTCATATTTGACAAATTTAATCTTCTTTTCGTTGCTTTTTCCTTTTCGTTTTCGGATTCCACTATCAGTTAACTTCATAGTCTGGGCAGCAGCTACAAATGCATCACTAATCATTTCGTTTTGCTCATCCTCCTTTTCTGTATTTCCCTCTTCCCCAATATTATCAACATAAAAAAGGTCATCATCTTCTGTCTTGTGCTCCAAGTTATCTGCTGGTTGCTTGGTTTGGGAAATGTCAAGACCTAATTTAGCATGGCTTTTTAAAATATCATCTTCAAAAACTCTAATCCCTCGACCCTCAAGACTCAGCAGCCAATCTGTGAGTAGATTAAACACAAAGAATTGATGAAATATGTAAGTTGTAGTGCATTGAGTACCATTTCTGCAACCCTAGATATATGAAGGTGCCAGGATCTACTTACTTATAAGAGCTCCGGGTGATGATCCATTTGCTCTGCCAGCTTTTTCCTCCAAATAATTCTGGCTTGTAACCCATTTAGTTATTTGCAAAGGTATGCGAGAAGCAGAAAATGACCTAGTATAAGAGACAGCTCTATTCTGATCACCAAGTCCCCTACATTAAGAAAATATTAGAAATTACACTCTGAATGTACAGCGAGAAAACTATTCATACACACTACAATAATTAATTCATCATACCTAAAATACTCTACAGCCTTATGAGTAACAATCAATCGGGTCAAGATAATGCTTTTTATGTATTTGGCATTTAGATAGAGAAAAGGGTACTCCGCCAGTAGTAGAGCATCAAACAGAACTTTCCTCAATAGAATTTCATCTTCAGGTTTCTGCATAGACAGATTACAACGTGATAATTATGAGTTTAATGGCTTATGTTATGATAAAAACGACAATGTTGGCCTGCCAAAGCAAGGAGACATCAATAGAAAGACTACAAAAAATCCCAACATTCTAATAGATGGACTCAGAAAATAAAAGAGGATTAGTCTATGAAAAGCTTGATTGTGCAAGTGATAGCCCTTGTCCATAAAACTATAGTGTTGGGAGTTTTGTACAATCGAAACGGTGACAAATGCCTGCTGGGATTACTTTTTGCAGATATGGAAGAAATGGCATGTCAAAAACCGTATAAGGATGAAATACTAACCAATATTGAGATCAAAGGCAAAGGTGTCGCTAATGCTGCCCTCATAATGATCTCTGATACAACAAAAGATAAATCCACATCAAACTTGGAACTAAAAAAATGAGAATCACGGTTGGAGAAAAGGTATATTAAATAATCAAGTGCATTTCATAGGACTTCATCCATGACCCAGTTAAGTTCAATAGTGAAAAGAATTGAAAACAAAACTCTGTTGCTAAAAAATACCACATATATAAGTAAACTGACCTATAGAAGTTCATGCAATTCAGAGTGGACATTATAGTGCAGGGCTATAAAGTTTATTGCTATACTCAACAATTTGGGCTATTAAAAGCTTTTGCCCTGTCATGTTTGTTTTTTTATTTATATTTTTTGTTCTTCCTTTAATACAAATAAATGCTACAAACTTCAAACTTAAAGTCACATAGACACAGATAAAAAAAGTAGCAGGAAACTGAAAATTAAACCAAACAAAAAGAAACCTTACTGACCCAAAAAATATATGTTCTGAAAGCTAGATATTGAGCCAACAGCCCAACTCTTCATATTCATTTCCAATTCATCCCTTGGCTTTGCCAGATGTAAAGACATGCACAGTTTCAATAAAAAAGCTTCCATGATGACAGCACCGGCCAAGTAACCAACATGAAAATCTCTAGTACTAAGCCAGCCACAAACATCATGGCTCACAAGAGGCAACAAAGATTCAAACCCATCAACAGTGTCCACCCAAACACGAGCCAAATCAGGGAAAGGCAAAATCAAATTCAAACTAACGGAATCAGTTTCCTCCTCAGAAATCTTACTACAGCAAACGCTTATATACCCAAGAACTGTATCTACCAAAGACTTCACCTCCCTCATTGCTTTCTTCTCCCTCTTCAATCCCAATTCACTTCCAAACAGTTCCAGAAGCACTCTATGCACGACAAAAACAACAGGAGCCAGTAAAGCAATGCTCTTTGAAGCACCAATCGAGGCTGAACATGCAGATAGCATCTGAAACAAGTCTTTTGCGGCCAGTATTCGATCCAAGGCATCACCTTTTTCCAAATTACGGCTGCGAAAGTTGATTGCAGCATAGACCCATATCACCTCAAAGGGTGGATCAACCTTAGCTTCCATCAATTCATGAAATGCATCGACGAAAAGAGAAAAATCCGAGGATTCTTTGGGAATCTCAGCCAAAAGGTTTTGCATTGACTGTTTCAGCTTGAGGGCATAGTTTTCACCCACAAGAGGGACCAAACCTGCAATCTCCATTAGAGCAGACGCAAAGGCAACGATCCAATTTTGGTCTCTAGGGTTTATGGAGGGGTTTTACAAGTTACATAATTTGGGCTCGGTTCGACCCGGTTTATACGTTTAGTTTTGAATTGACTCCCAAGTCTTGGCCGATAGAAAATTGGATTTTCTTGCGTAGGAAAATTCGAAACATGAATCTTAAAATTAAAGGAGTACTACGTGTTATCTTGTTCCTTATTGGTGGAGAAGATGGGATCCACCTTGTTTTGCTTATGTGGACCAATCACATGCGATAAAAATGTGATTTTTATAAACCGATAATTTAGCTTTATAGTTTATATTTATTAGGGTATAAAATAAGGTACTTGTTTATTGGTTTTTGGATGTGTTAACTTACCCACCAAACCATTCCGTCAATTTTGGTGAAAAAATTTCATCTTTTTAAAGATCTGCTATTCTAATTCTAGGTGGTGTGGAACTACGTTTGTTTGTGTGTTTTTTTGTGTTGTTGGGAATATGAAGGGAATGTTTTGGTTTCTAGTTGTATTAGCGGTGGTTGCAACATGGGTGCCCCAATCACATTGCTCCAAGAAACCGGTGGGGATCGCTAGAAAGGAGGACGTTCCGTACATAAAGTGTCAAGTGTGTGAGAAGCTCGCTAAGCAGTTGTATCAGCAAGTTCAGAACAAGCAAGCTGAGATCGCTCCCAAGAAGGTTTTTTTTTTTTTCATTTGTGTTTCTTCTCAATTGCTTCATTGTGTGTCTGTTTCAAAGCTGGGTTGGTAGGCTAATTTTGTGGTTTGCACTAGAATGATTTTTTGGTGTATTTTTGGGTGTTAGATCTCGGAGTACCAGATCATTGAGATAGCAGAGAATGTTTGTAATCTGAAAAAGGTCGAAGCGGATTGGATATTGCGCATAGATATTGTAGAAAAGAAAGATAAGCTGGAGGTAAGAGGATCAAACTTCTCAATTTGTTTGATCAATGGAATTTTTGTTTTGAGTTTGACACTACTTTGCTATTCCGCTTTCTTTGGATTTTGAATGGAATAGCTGTTAAATGAGTGTGTTGATTATATTGAGTATTGACTTTGTGGTAATATCTGAATATTGTTTCTCCAACTTCCTCTCTTATTTATCAGCTGGTAGAACAAGACTCTGAAGGACAATGCAATTCTGAATGCAAAACTATTGAGCGAGCCTGTCAGGAGGTACGGCACTTTTGTCTGCCTTCACTCAGTGCTTTTGTTTGTCACCAGTGAATTACTGAATTACACCTTCTCTTTTGGTTCTGAAGTGAAAAAATATAGGAGAGGGACGAGAAAAAAAAAAAGAACAAGTTTCACTTAATATATATTCTCAATCAATTAAGAACACTATGTTTGTTGGGTATGGCTCATACTTCGCATGATAATGAGGACCCTAGTTGTCGAGGTCAGCAGATAGGCAACTAAGGTCCCGTAGAGGCTAGGTACTATTGTAGGCCTTTGATTTATTGTAATTTTCTTAGCAATTTGGGCTTGGGCCCATGAATAGCTGCTGTTAGGGTTTTCTAATCCTATTTATATTTTCCTTGTAAATCGAGTGACTCGTAACGAGTGGCGATGAGGTGAATATACATAGCCTAAATTGGGTGAACTAAATCTTTGTGTCTATTTTCTCTCTCTTTCTCTTTTCGCCTTCGATTTGTGTGATTGTCAATTTCCATCGTTTAAGATGTTGAACCATTCATGATCTGAATTGTGCTTTCTCTACTGGTTATGTATATGTGTACTTCAAATATCCTCGTGTCAAGGTATCCTATAAATCTTTATGTAGGGATATTCGTGATTACTAAATTAGCAATTTGGAATTTGCAGGTTATAGGATATTCTGATACTGATGTTGCTGAGTATATATATAAATCCAAGCCTGATGTTGATTCATTGCTCAATTATCTCTGTAAAGACCTTACTAAAGCATGCAGTACCAAGCCACCCCCTGTCCCTAAGGTAACTATAACCTTTCATGTGAAATATGATTATGCATCGACATTGATTGTGATTTGTGATAAATAATCATTCTTAGTCTTTTCCATAGTAGTTCGGGGGTGCTGCTTCGGCTGCCTGCTGTATAGAATATCATACTTTACTTTTCCCATAGCTGGCCATTTTTCGGGACACCACTGATGGTTCTCTTGCTTTGACTCACTTTGTTAGTGCACTTTGTGAAGCATTCATATGGGGTTTATCTGTCAATCGGGTTCAAAACAAATACACAAACAAACAAACGGAACTAAAAACAAGACACTTGATAATGTGTGATAGCACTGTTGATGGTCTATCTTAGATAAGAAAAACAGACCGTTGTAGTTTATTCAATAATACGAGAAGTTGTCATCTTAAGTGTTTAACTCATTTCTTTCTTTTTTGTTTTTCAAATTTAATTTTTTCATCCCCAATAAGTGTTGACTCCTGAGCAAAGGATTGTTACCAATTGGTTATTTTCAAAATATGTGTATTTTAACTTATATGTATACTCTGAATCAGTTTTTACCTGGAATGCTGTTTCTCTACACTTTCTTTTAATTTCTTATATTCTTCTTGATCCTCAAATGTGCTGGGAGCGCTTTAGAGATTAAAGTGTAAAGTGCAAGTTACTTGCTGAGAAAATCAAGGGAGTAGTTCTTGCATATCCATGATTTGTTATTCATGTCTTTTATTTTACAAAATTGTAAACAGTAATCAATCTATCAACAATCAACGCCACACTTTACCCTCACCCTGTACCTCAGGATCCAAATTCTTCGCACTTCACCAATTAAATCATCCCTTCTTTAAACTATATAATTTGGAAAATAGAACTTTGTTTTTGCAATGATAGCATCTGACCTTATACGCACTTATAAATCTTTGTATGATTAGTTACTTCAGTTCTCATTGGAAGATCTTTTTACTTAAGTTATCATCAGGAAATCTATTTCTGTGTTGCAGGACAGGACTCCTGGTGAACCATTCGCTGCAAAGTCTTCTAAGGAGGCTGAAATGGAAAAGCTACTAAAATCTATGGAGGTAATTTACTTTTTTCTCCTTATGGCTTTATATCTTGGGAAGACTATTATGTGCAAGTTGAACTGATAATGAGTGAACCTAGTTCTAATCCATATCACCTAAATTGAAGTCCAGGTGCAGAGGTTTTATCCTTTCTTTTACGTGATGCATTCTGTTTCTGGTTGTACATTATGTTCATACTGTATTTAATTCTGCTCCAGGGCATGCCAGGAGCACCCGGCATGAAAATGTACTCAAGGGATGATTTAATGAACATGAAGAATTTTGGTGACGAAGATGCGGAAGATGAAGATGAGGATGAGGATGATGAGGCGAGCTTCCCCTCAAAATTGGTACTGACTCTCTTTAATTCATATTGATTGCAATATCTTTATAGAGACAACATTGATTGAAATGTTTTAGAATAACCAATCATTGGAATAAACTGCATCTTGTAGGGAAGAGTTTTGAGGGAAAAAGAAAGTGGAAAAAGTGACTGGAAACAGATGATAAGAAAAGGAATTGTGGACACAAGCATGACACTGAAGAAACATGCAAACAAAGTTTCCAATCGTATGCGACAATGGTGGAAGGCAAAGAAGGGTCCGAAGGCAGGGAAGTCAGAACTTTAGGGCCTCATAAACTAAGGAAGCTGCATCTTCTGAACTACAAGACATTTCCACAACGTTTGGTTACAGGTATTACTCCCAAGATGGACAGGAAGCAGGAATATTTGGAAGAACTATACAATCATCATTTGGAATGATTCATATTCCAATCAAGGATTTGCTTTTAGTGAGTGTTTTGTTAAAGTTGGATGGTGGATGTATACTAGGTAAACAATACCCAAGTTTATGATGCCACACAAGTACATTAATGTTCACCGTTCCCATTTTTTGTGGATGTAGGTTACTCTCTGAGATTTAATTATAGATCTTTTCTTAAAAAGTTTCGGTACCTTAATTTCCTTATATTTGATTACAAAGCACAGCGTAGTAAATCCCTCAAAGTTCATTAAGATATGATATTACTCATCTCATAATTTGAAATATGAACAGAGTTGAGCTTTGCAGCAAAGCACATAATCTTTTCTAACTTCAACCCTTGGTTACGACACCTATAAGTATTATAAGTCTTGGGATCGCATCAAAATGCAATTTTTCATTGTTACTATCATTATTTTGACCATTATCAGATTGCAGTGGTAGTATCAACACACACGAGGGCACTTGTAGTCTCGAAAACACTCAAATCTCGCTAACAAAGGCTGTGGATAACATCGTCCTTAAACGGCAGAATTGAGCAAAAGGGTAAGCAAATTAAATTTTGAACAATAAATAGAATTTCAAATTTAATCATTACATTCCAATACAGAATTGAGCAAATGAGAACGAATTCAAACAAAAATAGCAAACAAGTTACAGTCCTTAAACGGCAGCCTCATTTAAATAAATATGGAAGCATCAATTGTGTCAAAATCTCACAAATATGGGGAGCATTGGAAAATATACCCAATAAACTAGGCTCAACGCATCTTGTAATATTGAACCCTTGAAGCATTGCATCGCCTGCCGTTGAATGAATACTTGAGCATTATATCAACATCACGAGGATTTTTTTTGTTTGGAGCCACAGTCAAGCTCCCTACTATTGCCTCCCCCACACAAACGGTCAAGACATCTTCCAGATATAGGACTGTTTGTTTCCAATGTGTAGCTCGTGATCTTGGCCCTGCAAAAACGCTCAAAAGATCAGTTCGTACTTCACAAATTCTCAACATGTGCAGGACAACCCTACTCAAATGGAATTTTCCAACTAATATATAGTGAAGGCATCATGAAAAACAAGAAAACTGGTGAAAGAACTGTTCCACACAAATTTTCAGTAACCATTCTTGGAGCAAACATAGCCAGTATAGTTTCAAAAGAAATGCCAATTCTATTCAGTTTAGTTCAGAGCAAATATGATGATACTTCCATGCAAATCCTAAGACACCAATGAACCAACTTCATTGTTCATCTTTTCTAATTTTATTCTCTCCTTTTCCCTTTTTGAGCAGCTAATCCTTTAGACTTTGACCTTTATCAAGAAATAGAAATTTATGTATGAAAAAAATAATATACTAACTTTTGCCAATTAACAGTTTACATCACATCTAGAGGACACTTCACTCGTGTCCCTAAAACAGATAATGGAGAAAACCAAAACCTCAAATAAAGAGAACTTGGGAAGTAGAAAGGAATTAACCTGTAGAGAAGCCCATCAATTTATGGCACTTTGTAAATGATACATCAAAATATGCAACAAGAGCATGAATAAAATCATCACGTTCAGCTACAAGCTTAAAAGGTGCTGTGAATGAAGCATCTCCAGGAGCCATCTTTGAGATATCCATTGTCTAAACAATGATGAACCAATCAGTACATATCTTCCCAAAAAATAAAGAAATTCTTGTGCAAAATCAGAATGAAAAATTTACTGTTGTGGACACTGCATGAAACATGCTTCGCAAGGTCCATCAAACATAAGCTACAAATTACCTTGAGTAGCTGGCAATTTGTAGCTATCTGATTCTGATCAACTGTGTCAACGAGAGGCTCCATTATGGCTTGCTTCTTGATGCAGCTCATGTCAAATCCATAGACATTGTTCCAAACTGATATAGAAAATGAAAATACAATGTGTGAAAAAAAAACAGGAAAATTAGATGCATTTGTTTTTCTATATACAGCTAGAAATTTCGAGGTTTTCAAACACCAGCCCACAGCAGCAACTGACATCAATTCTTTAATTCCACATATGAAAAAGGATACAAGGAAAAAAATTATCAAATTGCATGTCAGTTAGGGAGGCAAATAAGCACCAGTTTGGACATCTTTTCTGTTGCAAGTATACCAGAAAAGACTCATATACTCAAATTTAGCAAGAGGTCAATAGCTCACACTCAATTTTATCTTCTTTGTAATCTGCATCTTCAATGGCAGTGAGATGGAGGGATGCTTTATCTGGTAGGACAATTCCATCATCCACCTAGACAAAAGAAGAAACAAAAAGAAAATCTCAAAATGATTTCCACACCATTATAGTATATGCACTATTTAATCACCTAAAAATCAACTAGAGTAGGGAAGACGTAACTTACAAGCCATTTGTCACGTGCATAGAGTACAGAATTCAACATATTCTCAAACAACAAGAAATATCCCATCCATTCAGAAATGATTATATCGACTTTAGCAACTGGAAGTTCAATTTCTTCAATCTTCCCCTTCAAAACCGTCACAACTGTAGAAACAAAAACAACATTATAGTAATTAATGTGAGTGTCTTTCGCAATTAATCCACCCACCAAAAGGCAATATACTGAACACAATTAGATGCAACATATAAATGGCATCACCTTTAGAGTAACCATTAGCTTCAACTATCTCCTTTGCCATGTCAGCCATATGGGAGCACTCAACCTGAGTTTGCAAAATTAAAAATTATCTGGAATACATGATAATTTAGGAATCACGGATATTTTCATGATTAAGAACACCAAAAAGATAAAAGGAAAGCTAGACACTTACTGCATAGACATGTTCTGCCCCCGCTTTAGCACAAAATAGTGATAAAATCCCAGTCCCAGCGCCCACATCAAGAACTATTTTATTCTTGAATAAAAACTTATTCTGATAAATAACATTTTGATAAGTCTTAGTTCTTACAGTGTCCTTCAACATTTCCTGCAATGTGAAAACAGGTTAGAACATAGCTCTCTACAGGAAGTATGCAAAGAAAGCATCCCAGAGAATATATATATATATATATATATATATATATATATATATATATATATGAAAAAGTTATACTTACAACTTTTTTTCCTTTACAGCCTTGTCTATGTATTCCGGGGAATACATGAGTGGATGTTTGTATTCTCCGGAATACACAGACAAGGTTGTAAGTATAACTTTCTTCATATATATATATATATATACATATATATATATATATATATATATATGAGGTAGAATCTTTTGACATCAATGTCAAATTTGAAGTTTGACACCTCATCTGAGAGATATTAGATCAAAAAAGATCAATGGTGTCACATGCTTATAAATCAGAATTGTTTATCTTTTTTGATCGAATGGCTGACGAGGTGTCAAATTTCAAATTTGACACTGATGTCAAAGGATCTTACCTCTCTCTCTCTATATATATATATATATATAATATATATAGAGAGAGAGAGAGAAACTTGTTCCCCCAAGAGCATTTATAGGCAATAAAAAGCAGGATATAATACATAAATCCAGCCTATGTCTTCACTTAACGTATGACATTCAAAAAAATTAACAGCATGATGCATCAGACCACGGCACATTCTTTGAGTACAACCAATTATTAAAAGTTAAAACAACAGAAAAAAATGGATTGAAAAAAGCCCCCTTTTTCGGATTATAATGCAGAAAAAAAATGAATATTTGGCTTTTGTTTTTCTACGTTACTCATAGAATTGTCTAGAAAAGCTGCAAATCCAAGAAAAGAACCAAAATTTAAACTTGCAACACAACACCAGACTGCATCCGAGTTAAGCACACTTACTTCGTGAATTCCTGCAAACACAGAGAGACACAAACAGACATAATGAGCATACGGTAGCATGAGAGTCCTTTAGAATACAGAAAGAAGAGCTTAGTGCTTCACATAATGAAGGGAAATACTGTAGTTAATAAAACATACCCAGATGAAAAAGTTATAAACTTTAAGCAGAAGTAGAAGAAGTTGAGTCATTGGAAAGGGGAATTTACCGAAATGAGAGTAGGAATCAAAGTAGTAGTCGGCGCTGGTTTTATCATCGGAATCTTCGAGAAAGACAGAAGAGTCGGGGTCACACATGGAGTGGTCGAGGTTGGAGCTCTCGGCGGCATCCTCGATGACCTCGTCGGCATCCTGGAACCGAAGGTGGTTTTTCATGTTACCCTCCTCCTCGTTACTTGTCGAACTCTGATTGTTGTTCTTTCGCCGACCCATCACACTTTGATTCAAAATATTAGGGTTTTAGGTTTTGCAATTCCTACTCTGCTCCTCCTCCTTCCGCGTCTTTCCCTCCTTTCAACCTTTCTGTTTAATTTTATTTTTTATTTTTTTGGTAATAACCTTTTTGTTTAATTTTTAATATCAAACTACTATGCTTTATAGATTTTAAAATAAATTTGGGAAGAAAAAAAAAACACAAATCAATGTTATTTAGGTTAATCAAATTAATATGTTAGATCTAAGATTTCTTATTTTTATAAGAGTGTAAGATTATCTTGCTTATATATACACATACTATATATAAGGGCAATATCTTCTGAAATCAAATCTTAAACGTTTATTTTCATAAATTTAATAGTTATAATTTATTGGATCTCACTTATTAATTAACCGTTGATTTTATGAATTTAACGGTTATAATTTATTGAATCATATTTATTAATTAATTATTAACATATATATACATATAGGGTCATGTTCAGTTTATATCGAAAATATATCTTTTGACTCCCGCGTAAGATTAAAATATCTTACTCCTCATATCAATTATTGAGTTTCGTCTATCTAACGGTTGTAATTTATTTAAAATTAATAATTAATTAATTGGTATAACATAATAAACTATAATAGTTAGATGAATGAAATTTTAATGATTGAGAAGTTTTGCTCTTCATCTCAATCATTAAAATTTGATGTAACACTTATTATTATGGAGGAAGGATATTTTTACTACTAAAATCTTCTACTACCAACTCACTACCTATCTAATCACCATTGGATCAATATTTTCTCTTTTTTCAAAAACTTTTTAGCATTCTCTCTCTTTGATTCAATGGTGAATAGATATGTAGTAAGTTAGCAATAGAAAATTTTTGTAGTAAGAATATCCTTCCTTATTAGTATGACATCAGTGAAAATTGAGATGAATAGTAAAACTTCTCATACTAAGATGTTTTACTCTTAGTATAATAATAATAAATCTTACATCAAATTTTAATGATTGAGATAAACATCAAAACTTCTTAGTTTATATATATATAGGGATAGGATCAACTTACACCGGTGTAAGAATAATAAATCTTACATCAAATCTTAACCGTTGATTTCCGTGCATCCAATGGTTGAGATTTATTGGGAATTAAAAATTAATTAATGAGTGAGACCTAATAAATCTTAACCGTTACATGTAAAAAATCAATGGTTAAGATTTGGTGTAAGATTTATTATTCTTACACCGGTGTAAGATGATCTTGCCCCATATATATATATATATATATATATATATATATATATATATATATATATATATATATATATATATATATAGGGAAAAATATTTCTGCAGTTAATGCAGATAAGTTATCTACATTTATTTCCAAAACGACATCATTTTGGTATTGAAATCTTAAAAAACTATAAATATAAAGACTATTATAACCATGAAATAAATTAAAATTACAAAAATACCATGATTTCCGTCCCAAAACGACGTCGTATTGGACTTACTGCAGATAACTTGTCTGCAGTGACTGCAGAAAAAACGAACTCATATATATACATAGAGAGAGAGAAGCATTTGTCATTTTTTTTCTTTGGAAATTGTTCAAAGGGTATACCTAAGCCGAAAGTCAAGGACTAATCCCTTAAGACGGAGAGATCACGTGATCGTGGGTATAACCTCTCCCAACAAAGTCTTTTCTATACACACGGCCAGTGATCAAATCCCTATGTTTCTCATTTTAAATTACATAATTTTACGTCATTTTATATTAATTGACATCTTTTTTGTGTATATTTGGTAACTTTTTAGATTACCTCTCCTCTGTAAAATTCTGAAGAGAGAGAAAATGGAGGAGAGAGAAGGTAAAAAATCACCAATTATATATCAAAATGATGATGTTCCATCTAAAATGACATAGAGTAATGTCATTTAAAATAACAAACACAAAGTCATTAAAATTGGTTTAGTGATGAGGGGTTGTGGTAGTTTACATAAGGTCAGAAGTACAAACCTCTCAGATCACATTGTAGACAAACACACACACACACATATATATATATATATATATATATATATATATATATATATATATATATATATGAGGCATGATCATTTGACACCGGTGTCAAATTTAAAATTTGACACGTCATTTGAGAGCCGTTAGATCAAAAAAGATCAACGACTCTGATTTGTAAGAATGAGACACCATTGATCTTTTTTGATTTAACGACTCTCAGATGACGTGTCAAATTTCAAATTTGACACCGGTGTCAAATGATCCTACCTCTCTCTCTATATATATATAGAGAGAGAGGTAGGATCCTTTGACACCGGTGTCAAATTTTGAAATTTGAAACTAAATTCTAACCTTTGATTTCCGCCAATCAACGGTTATCATTTATAAGGAATCAAACTTATTAATTAATATTAATTCCTAATAAATTATAACCGTTGATTGGTGAAAATCAAAGGAAAAGATTTGGTGTCAAATTTCAAAATTTGACACCAGTGTCAAAGGATATATATATATATATAGGCAGGATCCTTTGACACCGGTGTCAAAGGAAAAGGAAAAGTTTGACACCTCATATGAGAGCTGTTAGATTAAAAAAAATCAATGGTGTCACATGCTTACAAATCAGAATCGTTGATTTTTTTTAATCTAACGGCTCTCAGATGAGGTGTCAAACTTTTTTTTTGACACCGGTGTCAAAGGATCTTGTCTCATATACATATATATATATATATATATATACACTAGTGTATTACCCGTGCGTTGCACGGAGAAAAAAAAACCAGTTTGTTTATCTCGTAAAAATTAACGCAACACATTAAAGTATATTGCTGCATTTTACCTTGTCATGTGATCATTCAAAAATTACAAAGTTTGACTCAGCTTCTTTCAGTATTTCCTAGATATGAACTTTCATTTAGAAATATCAAATTTACAAAATAATAATACATAAATATTTTTTTGCAAAGATTTGTGTGGTTAGTATTTGGAATTTTTCAAATTCGTATTTACAAAAATCAAAATCAGAATAAGGAATTTAATTATAAAATAAGAAGGCAAAATTTTAATTCAATTATAAAAAAATGTTGGCGGGCCGGTCTTCCGGACCAAGTCCAGTTTGCAACCTCTAATTGTCAGCATTATAAACCAGCATGTAATACGTTTTTATATTTATCCACATAAAAAAATTCTTATAGTTGCATCTAAGTTTTTATATTTTATCTCTGATATGGACATTTATTTATTACAATTAGATTTACAAAATAATAATAAATAATTATTTTTTTTCAAGGATTTGTGTCCTTAGTATTTTGAATTTTACAAATTTGTATTTACAAAAATTGAAATCAGATTTAAGAATTTAATTATAAAAGAAGAAGTATGAAATTTTAATTTAATTATAAAAATAAGTTGGTGGGTCGGCCCTCCGGGCCGAACCCAATTTGCCACCTCTAACTATCAGCATGTAATAGGTTTTTATATTTATCCACAAAAGAATGTTCTTATAATTGCATTTAGGTTTTTATATTTTATCTCAGAGATGGACTTTCATTTATTACAACAGATTTACAAAATAATAATAAATAATTATTTTTTGCAACAATTTGTGTCGTTAGCATTTGAAATTTTACAAATTTGTATTTACAAAAATTGAAATCAGATTTAGGAATTGATTATAAAAGAAGAATAATGAAATTTTACTTTAATTATAAAAACTTGTTGGCAGGCGGGGCGAGCAGTCCCTCGGGCCAAGCCCAGTTTGCAACCTTCAACAATCAACATTTTATGTAAATAATAATTATTTTACACGAATTTGTGTCCTTAGTATTTTGAATTTTACAAATTTATATTTACAAACATTGAAATAAAGTTTAGGAATTTAATTATAAAAGAATAATGATGAAAATTTAATTTAATTATAAAAATAAGTTTGTGGGCTGGCCCTCCGGGCCGTGCCCAGTTTGTTATCTCTAACTCTCAGCATTTTATATCAGCGTGTAATATGTTTTTATATTTATCAACACAAAATTGTTCCTATAGTTGCATCTAGTTTACTATATATCTATATTTTTTACCGTTGCTTTTAAATCGACTCTTTTGTGGTCTGTGTATTTGTGACATATATAAGAGATAAAGAGTTGGAAAATATTTGAGTTCGTACCTTTAATATTCCATCAAACACTTTATAGTTAAATAGGGTAATATCAAAAGATCATTCGTTAGTTTAATTACATAATAATAAATATTATTAATAGGCTTAACAAAATATTATTAATAGGTTTAACAATTTTCGATGAAGAAAGTTATGGTATTATTAGTAGGCTTAACAATTATCTATGCAAAAAGTAGTGTGATATTAATATAGCTGTTTGACAACCAAAATTTTAAACTTTTTTTTTCCTAACTATGAAGTTTAAATTTCAAATTTAAATTATTATTGATCAACTATAAATATATTTTTATAATTTTAAGTAGATTTTTTGTTTAATCTTTAAGTTTATATTAAATTTAAATTCGTTATATATGTCTTTTTTCCACCTATCAAGTTCAAAATTCAAATTTAAAATGTTTAAATTTTAAATATTAAATATTTTCTCGCCTAATAGATATAATACTACATGTGAAGGTTATACTTACAACCTAAAGGTGAAGGTCATACTTACAACCTATTTTTGTTTACAATCATATCTTAACCGTTGATTTCCGTCAATCAACGGTTATCATTTATTACGAATTAATAATTAATTAATAAATTTAATTTGCGAAAATCTTAACCGTTGATTGACGAAAATCAACTGTTAAAATATGATTGTAAGAGGTTGTAAACGAAAATAGATTGTAAGTATAACCTCCCCCAATAATAAATATTATTAATAGACTTAATAACTTCACATACAAAAAGTAGTGAAAAACATTCATAGAAGGTTGTGCACTTTTTTCATGTAATAGCTTTTAGTTATTCATTCATGACATAGGAAATTGTGTTAATTATACTCTTGCAATAAAAAAAGAAAGTTTAATTTTTTATTTTTTTTTG